TGAATTGAAACAATTAGCATCAAATTGTATCACATTGGTAAAAAAAAATTGGTACTAAATTGTATCAAATTGGTATGAAATTGTATGCAATTGGTACCGAAAATTGGTACGAAATTGGATCGAATTGAAACAAATTGATATACTTAAAAAATTCCAATTAAATTAGAATTTAAATTCCATAATTTTTGTACGACAAAAAAATGCAATTTTCCGAATAATTTTTTTTTTCTCATTCCTTCCTTGTTTCACGTATACGTTAATATTTTTTTCTTCTATTTTTCATTTCCTTTGTTTTCAGTTGTATAATGAAACTATATTATTATGCATATAAGTTGATATGGATATGCAATAAATTTGTACATTGTGTAACGCGCCTTGTTTCGAACTTGACCGCACGACTACTTAGTAACACGAAAGAAAACACGAACATTCATTTTGTAATGAAATCACGAAAGTAAATAATTTCGCTTTTGGTAATTGATGCTAATTTATTTTTACCTTTTTTATGGCTTATTTTAAAGCAACAAATGCTAATTTTAACATAAATTCGATTTATTTATTATAATAAAATATTATTAGAATATTATTATTAACTAATAGCAGCTAAATTTAAAAAAATCTAATTGTTAGTTGAAAAAAAATAATTATAAAAAGTAATCAAATTTCCTGAATTATTAAAATTAAATTTAAAATACAAATTTTCGTCTATTATTCGTAAAGAGAATTTTGAAAATAAAGAAAAATTGTACTGAAAATGAAATGAAAGAATGATTATTCATTTGTTGATTATATAATTGAAATAAGTTGAAAATCTTTTTTTTTTAAATTTTTTCCTGTTAGCATAAGACAATTGTTATAGATGGAGATTATAAATATAGAATATATTTTTTAGAAAAACGAGCTTAAGGTCAAACAGTGAACCTTTTACAGGTGAAAAAGTGATTTCACTTTTTTGTCTAATGCTACTTTATAAACAGTATTTAATGACTTGATTTTATCCGTAGTTGCATTTGTTAAATTAATTTTTATAATTTATTATATTTAAATCTATTATCACAACATTTATTACAATTATTTCTTGAAATGAATAAATAAAAAATTGGAAGATATTTAAAAATTGATACTAAATGAAATGCATTTTTTTTACAAAAAGCATAAAATTGAAATGAAAATTGTGTCAAAAAGAACAAATTGTACCAAAGCAAATTATACCAAATTAGTTATATACCAAACGATCTAAACTTATAGTAAAAAAATCCAAATTGAAAATAAATTTATAACAAAAAATTTTAATTGAAAAAAAAATTATGATGAATTGATAGCAAAGAATCAAATTAGAACTAATTTTATACCAAAATAATCAATTGGAAGTAAACTTTTACCAGATTGTACCAAATTTATACAAATAAATAAATAAATAAATTTATACCAGATTTATACCAGTTTGTACCAAATTAAATCAATTTAGTACTAATTTGTACCAAATAGTACAAAATTAATACCAGTTTGTACAAAATTGATACCAGTTTGTACCAAATGTTATTAAATTGGTACCAGTTTGTACGAAAATTGATACCAGTTGGTACCAAATTGAATAAAAAAATTAATAGTAGTTTGTACCAAATCACACCAAATTAATACCAGTTTGTACCAAATTGAATCAAATTAGTACTAATTTGTACCAAATTGTACAAAATTAATACAAGTTTAAACCAAATTAAATTATATTGATACCAGTTTGTACCAAATTGAATTAAATTGATACCAGTTTGTACCAAATTTTATAAAATTGGTACCAGTTTGTACCAAATTGAATCAATTTAGTACTAATTTGTACCAAATTGTACAAAATTAATACCAGTTTAAACCAAATTAAATTAAATGAAAACCAGTTTGTACCAAATTAAATTACATTGGTACCAGTTTGTACCAAATTGTACAAAATTATTACCAGTTTGTACCAAATGTTATTAAATTGGTACCAGTTTGTACGAAAATTGATACCAGTTGGTACCAAATTGAATAAAAAAATTAATAGTAGTTTGTACCAAATCGCACCAAACTAATATCAGTTTGTACCAAATTAAATTGGTATTAGTATGTACCAAATTGAATCATATTAGTACTAATTTGTACTAAATTGACCAAAATCAATACCAGTTTGTACCAAATTGATACCGAATGGAATGGAAATTAGTACTAGTTTGTACCAGATTGGACTACGTTGATACCAATTTGTACCAAATTTAATTAAAATAGTACCAATTTGAACCAAACTGTTACCAAATTGTACAAAATTGATACCAGTTTGTACCAAATTGAATCAAATTGATACCAGTTTGTACCAAAATGAATTAAATTAATATTAGTTTGTACCAAATTGGACCAAATAAATACCAGTTTGTAACTAAATTGATACCGAATTGAATGAAAATTAGTACTATTTTGTACCAGATTGTACCAAATTGAATTAAATTAGTAAAAATTTGAACCAAACTGTGACCAAATTGTATAAAATTAATACCAGTTTGTACAAAATTTGACCAAACTGAAAGAATTTAATATCAGTTGGAATAAAATTGTAGTTAATTGTTACCAGTTTGGACTAAATTGATACCAAATTTCAACAAGTTGATACCAGTTGTGACCAAATTGTTGCCAAATCGAATATCAATATAATCAAATTATAGTACCAAATTGGTAGCAGTTTATAGACTAAATTTTTACAAAAATTGAATTAAATTAATTTTAATTTGCACCAAATTGGATTAAATTGATACCAGATTGAATTAAATTTTATCGACACTGATACCAAATTGTACCAAATTGTTGCCAGATTCTACCAAATATTCACTAAATTGAGTAAAATTATTACTAACTTTAATCATATCAGGTTACTACTAAATTATTTAAATTAGAAACAAATTTGATGCCAAAAATTCCGAATTGAAAATTAATTTATATCAAAAAACCATTAAATTTAAACTAAAATTAAAAACCGAAAATTACATCGAATTTGTACCAGAAAATATCATATTTTAATAGAAATCAAAATTAATCCAATTTTATACGCAAAATACAATCAAAATAGAAGTGAATTCAGACTAAAAGCATTAAATTCAAAACAAAATTATACCAACTTGTACCAGAAAAAAGCAATTTTAATAGAAATTAAGATTATTCCAAATTTATACGTATATAAAAATAGAAGCAAAATAGAAGTGAATTCATGCTAAAAGCATCAAATTAAAGTAAAAATTATGCCAAATTGTTACTCGGGAGGTTCTGGTATCGCTAATTACGAATATATTGATAGATTTTCAAAATTCAAAATGGCGGATCCAATATGGCGGCCATAAAAATTGAAAATCCATCAAATTCGCTTGAAACTTGTCACTCGGGGGTTTTTGGGGTCACTGATCACGAATATGAAATTCATTTTTAAAAATTCAAAATGGCGGATCCAATATGGCGGACTTATTTTTTAAAATTGATCAAATTCGCTTGAAAATCGTCACTCGGGGGTTTTTGGCGTCACTGATCACGAATTCGGTGTCGGTATTTAAAAATTCAAAATGGCGGATCCAATATGGCGGACTTTTTTTAAAAATTGATCAAATTCGCTTGAAAATCGTCACTCGGGGGTTTTTGGGGTCACTGATCACGAATTCGGTGTCGGTATTTAAAAATTCAAAATGGCGGATCTAATATGGCGGCCATGAAAATTGAAAATCCATCAAATTCGCTTGAAAATCGTCACTCGGGGGTTTTTGGTTTCACTGATCACGAATTCGGTGTCGGTATTTAAAAATTCAAAATGGCGGATCCAATATGGCGGACTTTTTTTAAAAATTGATCAAATTCGCTTGAAAATCGTCACTCGGGGGTTTTTGGGGTCACTGATCACGAATTCGGTGTCGGTATTTAAAAATTCAAAATGGCGGATCTAATATGGCGGCCATGAAAATTGAAAATCCATCAAATTCGCTTGAAAATCGTCACTCGGGGGTTTTTGGTTTCACTGATCACGAATTCGGTGTCGGTATTTAAAAATTCAAAATGGCGGATCCAATATGGCGGACTTATTTTTTAAAATTGATCAAATTCACTTGAAAATCGTCACTCGGGGCTTTTTTGGGTCACTGATCACGAATCCGGTGTCAGTATTTAAAAAATTCAAAATAATATCAATTTCAATCAAATTTGATCGATTTTAGAATTTTTTCATTTCATATTTTTAATTTTAAAACAATTGCTTTTTTAATTTAGTATAATTTATTAATTTAAGTATAATTTTTCAAAATATTTTTCTTTTCGTCCTATTTGGAAATAATTCTACATTTATTTTTTTTTGTCCTATTCAAAAATTTATTTTGACCTTAAAAATGGAGGAATTTTTTTTTTTTTTTTGAAAAGTAATAAATACATATAAATAGTCGTTTCTGTAGAAAATATGCAAATGTATAGAAAAATTGTAATTGTGTCCGTGTGTGTGTGTGTGTGTAATGGAAGGAACGCATTGGGGAAAAATTTCGATGTAGCAAAGTTGGCAGAGGCAAGACCGATAGCAGGGCTTCTCTACTACTCGTGCGCGATAGAAATACACCCCCGCCAATCCCCTGCGTCGCCCGCTCCCAACTCCATTCTCTATGCCCTTCTTTTCCCCCCCGCTCACTGCCTGGCTATGTAAGCCACCTCACGAAACCCCACCGTTCCAGTCTCGCAGCGGTACTCGCGTGCGAAATAATATGGCTGGGGAGTCGAACCACCAATAGATAAGGCCAAACCAAAAAATTTCAAAAATTGTGCTCTCTCGACACGAAGAAAAAAACAAAAATCCTAAATTTAAAACAAAAGTTAAACAAAAAAAAATAAATTCAAAACAAAATTTAAACAAAACAACAAAAATTTAAACAAAAAACCAAAATTTAAACTAAAAACAAAAAAAAAACAAAATTTTAAACAGTTGAACAAAATTTAAATAATATTCGAAACAAAATTCAAAGGAAAATTCAACAAAAATGAAAATGAAAATTTCAACAAAATTCGAAGAAAATTAAAAGGAAAATTCAAAGAATAATTCGAAACAAAAATAAATTTTTGTGTCCCAACAAAAAAAATTCCAGAGCACTCAATTTCTTGTGTTCCATCTCCCAACTTTTCTTTTTTACTTTTTTATCATCGAGTGCGTGCGTGTAAGAAAAAATAATACTCATATCAAAAAAAAAAAAAAAAAAAAAAAAGTGTGACAATATTTTACTGTGAATTTTTCTTTACCAAAAAAAAAAGAAAAAAAAAAGTGAAAAAAAGTGCTTTCAAGTGACAATTTTTTTTTTACCAACTGGTGTATTTTTCAAAAAAAAGTATTCTCTCTCTCTCTCTCTCTTAACCCGCCCCACCCCGATATCGTCTCGTCACCTCTCTTTTCTCTCGCCCCACCCCAAAAAAATAAAAAGGAAAAAAAAAACTCGATCCGCAACGATCAAAGTCATTGCATTGAAAGCATATGCACAACGAGAGAAAACAAGATATTAAATGGACGGACTAGAAAATTGTGTCTTTGGATAATAAATTACGACGTGAAAATAGAAAATCGAATATTGGAAAATTAAAAAATAAAAAAGTGTTTCGAGAATAGTGGGAAAAATTTCGTAAATAAGGAAAAAAAAAGAAGAGAGAGAAAAAAAAAATTGTCGCGAGGAGGAATTTTCAATCTACTATATATATATATATATATATTTAAAGGAAAGAAGAGAGAACACACATCGAAGGCGACGTAACCGCCTGACTGTGACACGTGAGTATTATTATCAAGTCTCGAAACTTACACGTTCAACTTAGTGACTATAAAAATAGGTTGAGTGAATAAAAAAGAAAGGAAAAAGGAAAAAAGGGGGAGAGAGGGTCAAAAATACACTTTTTTGACCCTCACTTTTTTGGTACTCTGGGTTTTTTTTTTTTTCCGAGTAGAAAATAGAAAAATAATTTTTTCATAGTAGAAACTACAATTTTAATGGAGTAGAAAATATTTTTTCATAGTAGAAAATAAAAGATTTGAATTTTTTTTAAGTTTAAAACCCTTTTTTTCTGAATTAGAATTTACCTATTTTTTTGGAGTAAAAAATACAGTTTAACAGAGTAGAAAATATATATTTAACGGAGCAGAAAATATTTTTTCGGAAAAGAAAATTTTCGAAATTCTTTTTTTTAAAATACTTTTTTCAAACTAGAAAATACCTTTTTTTTGTAATAGAAACTAAATTTTAACGGAGTAGAAAATATTTTTTCATAGTAGAAAATAAGTATTTAACGAAAGTAGAAAATATTTTCTCATAGTAGAAAATAAGTATTTAACGAAAGTAGAAAATATTTTTTTTTTTATTTTAAAATACTTTTTTTTGGATTAGAAAATACCTTTTTTTTCGTAGTAGAAATTAAAGTTTAACGAAGTAGAAAATATATTTAACGAGGTAGAAAATATTTTTTCCGAGTCGAAAATAAAATTTTCGAAATTTTTCTCTTTTGATTTAAAAAAAAATTTTTTTTCCAACTAGAAAATACCTTTTTTATGTTGTAGAAACTAAATTTTAACGAAGTAGAAAATATTTTTTTAAAATAGAAAATAAAATTTTCGAAATTTTTTTTTTTTTTTTTTTTTTCAAAGTGTAAAATAATAATTTTTTGTATAGAAAATATTTTTTTCGTAGTAGAAAAGAAGAATATAAATAGAATAAAATGTAGGAGAGTAGAAAATATTTTTTCGGAGTGGAAAATAATTTTCCGAAGTAGAAATTAATTTTTTTGGAGTAGAAAATATTTTTTCCGAGTAGAAAATTATTTTTTCAAAACAGAAAATATAAACTCTTGGAAAATAAAAAAAACAGAAATTTTATTCAGAGTGGAAAATCTGAGTTTTTTTTCTTGTGTTATTTTAAATTTTGCCGCTTTCAACCCTTGCCAAATGTGCTCCTATTACGTTTCAATCTACTGCGCCATTGAAGAAGTAGGAAAAAGGAAAGAAGTGGGTCAAGAAAAAAAATACTGTGGCTTCGGATTATTTTCTATTTTCGCTTTTTTCGAATCATTTTCTTCTTCATTTTTTTGTTTGTTTTTTTATTTATTTATTTTTTTTTGAAGGAGGGAAAAAATTGCGAACTTTTTTCTTAATCCCTTTTTGATTTCGAATTAAAGAAGAATTTTCTAGTCTAGGGTGGGGGGGGGGGGTAGGAAGGGAGGGGGGTTTTTTCGCGAACGATCGAGAAATTTAGTGATTTTTTTTTTAATAATAATTATAATAATAATAATAATAATTATAAGGGGGAGAAAAAATATAATGAGTTTAAAAATTTTTTTTAAATTTAAAATTGAAAAAAAAAATTTTTTTAAATTAGCAAATAAAAATTTTAAAATTAAATAAAATAAAATATTAAACACAATTAAAAATAGAAAACAAAATAGAAAAAATTAATGAATTATTATAAAAAAAACTAAATAGAAATAAATAGAAAAAAATAAAGAATTAAAAAAAAACAGTAAAATATTAATGAATTAAAAAAAATTAACAATTTAAGGGCATTTGAACCATGATGACGTCACAGATTTAAAACTAATGCTTTGCACAAACTGTGACGTCATCAAGGTTCAAATCCCCTTAATAACTAATAAATAGAAATTAACAAAAAGTCCAAAAAATAAATCAAAGCAACAAAAGATAAAAAAAAGTAAAAAAGGCACAAAGAAGAAATGGAAAATTTATTAATTAATTAATTAATTTATAATTATTTTCGAAATATATAAAAAAAATTTGATAAATAATAAAAGGATGTAAATGGAAAAATACGAAATAGTAAATAAAATTTACGAAAAAGTAAAAAAAGAAAAAGAAAAAAAAGCGAAAAAGTGAAAGAAAATAGGGACAGAAAATAAATTTAATTAAGAATTAAATAAATAAATAAATTCCCTAAATTAATTAAGAAATGGAATAGAATAATTAATTTTAAAAATGTTGGTAGTTAAATTGTAAACACATGAAATTAAATGAAAAAAATATCAAAATGTTAAGTTAATAAAAAAAAAAAAAAAAAAATTAAAGAAAAAAAACTTGAGAGATTAAATAGGATAATTAATTTGAAAAGTTAAATAAAAAATATAAGAAATTTATTTACTTTTTTTGGAGTTATTTAATTATTAATTAAACTATTGTGTGAATAATTAAATAATAATAAATTTATTAAATAAAATAAATAATACGAAAAAATAAACAAAAAAGTGGGTAAAAAAAAAGTTAAATTAAATTAATTAGGAAAAAATTAGAAGCAATAACAAAAATAATTAATTAAACGTTAATTAATTTAATAATAAATTAAAACTTTGTTTTTCGATTATTTTTGTATTTTTAAAAAAAAATTAATTAAATTGATTAAATTAATAAAATAAATGAAATTTATTAAAATTGAATTAAAGAAAAAAATTCCAGGGAAAATATACAAAATAAGAAAAAATGTATAACAGGAAATAACAAAATTGTAAACAGCAAAATTATTTGCCAAAGAAAATAAAACATAAACAAAATATAAAAAAGAATGAAATAGAAAATAAATAAAAGGAAATAGAAAATCAAGAATATTAATTTGAAAATATAAAAAATTAAAATGAAAATTCGAAAAATGAAATTGAAAATTGAAAAAGTTGAATTGAAAATATAAAAAATTAAATAATTGAAAATACGAAAAATGAATTGAAAATTCAAAAAGGAAAATTGAAATTGTGAAAAATATAATTGAAAATACAAAAAATAATATTGGAAATAATGAAAAATAAATTGGAAAATATAAAAAATGAAATTGAAAATCAAAAATTTTAAATTAAAAATCAAAATATTGAAATTGAAAATAAAAAAAATTAAACAATTGAAAATACGAAAAATGAATGAAAATATTAAAAAACTGAATTGAAAATTCAAAATTGAAAATTGAAAATCAAAAAATTGAAATTGAAAATATAAAAATTAAATAATTGAAAATACAAAAAATGAATTGAAAATTAAAAAACTAAATTGAAAATCTAAAAAGAAAAATTGAAATTGCAAAAAATATAATTGAAAACACAAGAAGTAAAATTGAAAATCCAAAAATATAAAAAAAAATTCAAAATCGCGAAATTCATGAAAATTTTCGAGAAAATACAAAGTTCATAAATAAATATGTAAAAAAAAAATTTAGAAGTGATAATAAATGAAAATTCTATAAAAAAATTGAAAGCACAAAAGAAAATATTGAAAATAGAAAATACAGGAAAATTCTATAGAAAATAAAAAATCAAAATGAAAATCAAAAATTCTATAGAGAATAAAACGTACAAAAAAAAATATTAAAAATAGAAAGTTCAAAATGATATTAACTACAAAAAATACAAAAAAATATTGAAAATAGAAAATACACAAAAAATTTATAAAAAATATGAAAAAATTAATTAGAATCGAATATTTGATAGAAAATAAAAAAAATTTGAAAAGGGACTTGAAAATATAAACTACAAAAAAAATATTAAAAATAGAAAATACAAAATAATATTAAAAACAAAATATTGTTTCACAAAATATTGTTAAAAAATACAAAAAATATCAAAAATAGAAAATACAAAAAAAATTACATAGAAAATATACAAAAATTCTATAGAAAATATGAAAGAAAAATTAGAATCGAAAATTCCATAGAAAATAGAAAATACGAAACGAAAATTTGAAAATAGAAACTACAAAAAAAATGTTAAAAATAAAAAGTTCAAAATAATTTTAAAAACAAAGAATACAATTCTAGTCCAAAAAAAAGTATTTCAAACTCAAAAAAAAAATTTTGATGATTTTATTTTCTATTTTGAAAAAATATTTTCTACTTTATTAAAAAGTATTTTCTACCACTAGAAAAGGTGTGTTTTCTACTTCGAAAAATAGTATTCAAAATAATAAGTAACTCGAAAGGGAAAAAAGGAAAAAATTTCGAACAATTTATTTTCTGCTCCGAAAAAATATTTTCTACTCCGTCAGAAAATATTTATTTACGACTACGAAAAAAGGTATTTTCTAGCAAAAAAAAAAAAGTTTTTTTTTAAATCGAAAAACAAAAAATACAAAAAAAATATTGAAAATAGAAAACCTAAATTTTCCTAAATTAGAGGAAATATAAAAAAAAATAATTAGAATCGAAAATTCCATGGAAAATAGAAAATACGAAAAGAAAAAGAAATTTGAAAATAGAGAAACTATAAAAAAATTGAAAATACAAAAAAAAAAAAAAAAAATTGAATGTAAAATTTGAAAATTTGAAAATTCGAAAAAATATGGAAATAGAAGGAAAAAGGAAACGGGACTCGATGCACAAAATTTACAGCGAAAATATACATATTTTTTCTTATCGATAATATAATACATAGCGCGAGGGATACGTGAACCAATTGCCAAGGAACACGTTCATAAAAACGAATTTTCTTTCTTTCTTACAACGTAACAAAGAAAAATTAAAAATCACAAAAAGTCTGAGAAAAGAAAAAATAAATTAAAAACCAATTTCAAGAAAAGTAAAAATGAAGAAAAAAACATTTTTTTTATTGCGATAAGAAAAGGAAAATTATAACCACTCACACACACACACACACACACAAACACTTAACACATGTATCTTCGAAATATACTAGCCTCATTTTTATCTATTCTGTTTTATAATGTGAAGAAGATCGATACGATAACGAAATACAAATTATTTGACCTAGAAACAAAGGAGTAGCTGGCGGAATTCGTGC